CCCCTCAAGTTTTGAAAATGGCTGACAGTGTAGAAAATATGTTTTTTACCAACTGAGAACTGAACTTTCCCACCCCAGAAGTTAGACAGATTTCAATAAATTACAGAAAAATAGACCAGTTCAGGCACTGATGCTTATTAGATGAGACCAACAGCCTATCACATGCACCCCCTTGTCTCCCATAGTGCTGTGTGTCCCTCAATGTGGGGTAAACTCAAAGAAAGCAATGAAATGGAGGAATTTCCTTCCAGTATGTCTACTTAAAGTAGTAAATATTTCATAAGGTTTTTTTACCTAGGGATTTGAATTCCCGACACCTAACGAAAATAATGTGGAACTGGAATTTACTTATGACTTCAAAATTGAGGCAGTAAACGTCACATTTTCAGTGCTTTAAAGCCTACTGTTAAATAAGCACAGGAAGAGCATGAAAGTTTCAGTGAAGGAATTCCTTGGTGTTGCAGAGAATTTTGTGTTTGGGATTAGCTCCAAAACAACAAGAAATTGCTTACAGAACATCTGTACATATACATAGATACACGTTATATACGTCATATATATGTACTCACAGTACCCTTTTTACCTATGTCCGCACACACACACACAAATATTTATACAAACATATAGACATATGCACATGCAAACGTACGTATATCAGAAAGACGATACGGTCAGTATTGACTTACCTGGTTCACCAAGGGGAGTAGCTGGAGAGAAGTGAATAACTTTTTGGAGTTGTAGGTCCGTATATATACCTTCTTGAACTTCGGTCTTAGTTATACAACGTATCTTGTTGCATACATTATTCCTTCAATTGATGTAATTGGAGTCAGTGATTTTCATATTTTCGAAATTTGATATTATGACGCATATGTAATACCTTTAGAATTTCTTTCATCTTAAAAAAAGAAGAAATGGGCTCAGCACATTTCTAGTAAAATTACATGGAATTCTTTGTAGCTGGACGAATAGGAGTAATTCTGGGAGATGTTTGGACCATTACAGGTTGCGCAATCTGCTTGTAGGTACACTCCATTTGCTTGGCTTTTGCATCTATGGTGCAATACGCAGGGGAGAAAAGAGGTAGGCTTTTCTTTGGTGTGCCGAAACGTAGTGACGCTTCTATTGGGCATCATCATGACCCGTACGTACTGCCCAGTGATACTGGCAGGGATCTTTTGCCAGAAGATTTGTTTAATTTTTGTCTTCAGTTCTACAACAACTATTTTGAAGAAATTTTTCAAATGCCTTATTAATGTTCCCAAATATTTGTCCCTATTTTTGAATAATTTTTTAATATTTTTGCGTTTCATAAAACACATAATGCATCACCTTATTAGGACTTAGAAACAAGAGACCTTGATGTGTCTCGTAAGTGACCATATTATTAAATCTGGGGGTGTCTTTTGGTGAGAAACTATTAATATTTAAATACAGCAACACTTTGCAAATTGAAAACATTAATGAGTGTTTATGAAGTGCTTTGGCATTCAAAATTCTGAGGAAGCCTCAACATCCTGCTTGCTCATTATTACCCTTATTTTATATTCAAATTAATGTCAGAAATTAGGTGAAGGTCATACAAGGAGTTCTGCAGTAAACTCCAGCATTCCTTGCTGTTGTACCATATTTGACACTTGTAGTTGATTCTTTGCTAAGAAAATGTTAACACGGTTCCTTGGAAAACAGCGTTTAGTACATCTCACAAAATCCTTGTCATTTATTATTTTCCAGACCAAGTTCAGACTTGTATTCTTCACTTTGTTCTGCTGAACTCAAGCCCTCTAGTGAACTAAACTGCAAACAATGTTGTAGTTGTATTTCTGTCAAAAACATTCTTTCTGTTCATGCAGCAGCCTGACTTCTTTTTACCACGAACACTTTGGAGGAATGCAATTAAGATTTATTTGTAGTTCATGCCGATCCTGTCTCCTGAAGTCGCTATTGTAGTTTAATATAAAATACCTAAATATGTTTACACTTCCTTTAAAGAAGCAGCCTGTGCCATGGTGCATCAGAGTTTCCAGTGAACAGCAAATATTTTCAAACATGTGGGAAAGTTTTTTCCTTTTTTACTGAAAAATTTCTTTCTCCAATGGCTTTGGAAACTTAGAAACGCTTTTATATTATATAAATATAAATTTCAGTTTTGACAGTGAAGACAATAAAATGGTATCAGGAATGTAGTTGGCCCAGAAGATTTTAAGATGAAAGAAACCTGTAATATATGTGACATATGGGAGGCTGGGAACACACTAATAATCCCAAACAATGAAGAAAATTACATTAATTGAAGATATGACGTGTACAGGCAAATTTGTTTTCCAACCAATAAGACTACAAACCTTTTGAATACACAGGGCGTCTTAGATAAGCCAGGCAGGCAACGAAACGGTATAAAAAGGGCTCAGAGCTCAGGCTTCTCATCAGCTCTCTTGCCTTCCTCCTCCCGCTGAACTCGGTAAGCCTTTTCTCCACTCAGTCTCTTCATAAGGATTAGGAATTTCAGTTTAATAATTTGCGTTTAGGATTGTGGCTTCTCTGAAATGTAAGATTTCTCTCTACCTTGTGTCTGTGCTTACTGCATTGCAGGAACTGGTAGGTTCAAGTTTTAAAGCTGGGGTTGAAATTTTCCTGGTCCTGTTGGTACCTGGGGTACCTGGCCCTCCGATAAAGATTCCTGGTTATCAGGTCTGCAGAGCTGCATCCAGCAGAGGTAGAGAAGAGTTTCCCCACCGTGGCCTTCAGTGGGTTCCTCCATGAATCTTTACTTTAATGAAGGTCTTCAGATCTTTTTGGCAGGACAGCAGATGTTCTCATGTGTGCTAACGCTCCGTAGTTTCTTGCGTGTGCTGTCAGCATTTCCAGATGCCAATCAAAATTGATGTAAATTAATGAAATGGGACTTGGAGCAATGAATCCGAAAGCTGAAGTGTGTTGTTGTGGCAAACATCGGACACCTGACGCTTTCTTGAAGGATTTGGGAACGTAGAGCTCTATGCAAAGCTGATAGTCTAAAAGAAATTTGGGATTGCTAACTCCTAACAATTATTCTCAAAGAAAGATCCTGAAACAGCAGCAAGGAGGTTTTGCCCTGTAACAGGTATATTCCATAGTCAGTGCTTTCATCAATCTCAGCAAGTGAGAAAATAAACAAAATAGTTTAAAAACAGTGGATAAAAGAGAAAATTATAGAAATGGGATGTAATAAGGAGCTGAGGAATTTGATCATAGTTTTGCTTCTGTCTTTGATCTCACGGGGCCAGTGAAGAAGTCTTTGGGCCTGAGGCTGTTCCTGCCCCTGGAAGTATTTCTCACTTTTCCTTTCCTCCATGCTGCTGCATTTCAGGTTTGCCTCCATCGCAGAAAGATGACTTTCTTCCAAAACCAGTGCGACGATGACTGCTATTCTCCCTGCAATTATGGGAGCCTATACAGCTACCGGGGCTACGACTGTGGGATTCCCTGTGGCTACCGGGGCTATGGGGGCCTCTACGGCTACCGGGGCCTCTACGGGTTTGGGGATCGGTGCGGCTATAGCGGTCTGTACGGTTACCGGGGCATTTATGGCTCTGGGGACTGCTATGGCTATGGGGGTCTGTACAGTGGCTATAGGGGGTTCTCCGGCTCTGGGGACTGCTATGGCTACCCAGGCTTTTATTCCAACCGCTACGGTTACCCCTTTGGTTCACGATTCGGTCAAAGGTTCAGCTACGGAAGATGCTACCCCTGCTAAACCCAACAGGAATGTCGCTGAAATGAATATCAACCCAGGCCCGGCAAGCACAGATTAATGGTGAACCTTGGCAGCGACTGTCCTCGATGTGCAGAGCCGTGGTGACAGCAGCCACCCTCCACGGATGCTTTGAGTGCTCTGCGCTGCTGTTGAAGTGCTTGTGATGATTTATCTTTGCTCTGCTCTGTGTCTGCTTGCTCTCTTGCCACCCAAACTCTCCTCTTGATCAAAAGCTTGCTCCTCATTGATACTGCAGTTCTTTGTAAACTGGCTTTTGTTTGTTTGCAATGACGTACAAAACACTAACTCTGAATGAATGGGACAGGCAGGGTGTAATGTGTCTTTGGGAATGTAGTCTTTCAGTTCTGTATGCCTTTAAAAGTATGTCTGCCTTTCACACGTATTAAAAATTATACTGCATCAATACTGTATTTCTGGTTTTATTTTCCACTTACATTTCTTAGGTGTCTTGAAATCAATAGTAGCATGCAGACTGGGTGACAAAGTTATTAACTTTGTGTACTCAAGGGTTTGCTTATAGAGACTTGTCCTTCTCAAGCTGAGAACCATAGACTTTTGTAGCTGCAACAAACTTCACCTGTGTCTCTGGTTATGGATGTTTCTACAACTCCATGTTTTTGCTTGGTGTATTCCAAATAAATGGTTGATTTAAAATATTTCAGTGCTGCTGTCGGGCTAACATAATGTGGTTAGGACATGATCCATCACTGGCTGTGATCTGATATTGAAGACATCATAGGTAACTGCAAATGTGTGGACTCATCGGGTTTTTAATTTTGAAATAAGTTTGTGTTTTATATATTATCATAGACTCATTAAATTGGCCAGGTTGGAAGGGACCTGCAAAGATCAGGGTTGAAAGATTAGAGGTTCCCTGATGGACAAGTGGGAGGAATTTGCCCTTTGCAGTGTAAATAATTTGGTAGGAGATAGGGATATCCATTGGCCAGCACTTCTGAGGCACGGCAGCGGAGCGTTTTTGTCTGTCGGTTCAGGGAAGTGTA